TAATACAGATTCTATTGTTGAATTATAGTTATACAATGTTTGAATAATCATCAAAGAAATATTTTACTATTCTTCTAGCAAAACGCGTTTCAATTGCTTATGTAAGTGATATTGGAAGAGAAAATTTACTTCTCACTTTATTTTCAATAAAAATTGCTCTCTATTCTTCAAACTTATCTAATATCTTTCCAACTTCAATTTCTTTCAATACCTGACCAGCGAAATCGCTTGATTTAAATATTATCGGATTATTGCGAGCAGTTTTGAAAAGTAAAATGAGAAACAGATTTTCTCCTGCAATATCTCTGTACTTGGAAGATATTCTGCTAAAAGAATAGTATAACAATTACGTTATTTAATCCTAAAATAATCACCTAATGTTTTTATATCGCAGTAGCGAGAAAATGCAAATTGTAAAATATCTTTTATGAATATCATTTAATATATTTTCTTTCTTTTTTAAATAACTATTCTTTACAATAGTTTAAAAATCCTCAAATCTGAAATTTCATCGAAAATTCCTCAACAAAAAAATAGTATATTAATTAAATATTTATTTTTTAGAAATACTATCACAATAAGCTATACTTAAAGTATTTATTTCATTTAATATTTATCTCTCTTATGCTTTTCAGAAAATTGTGATTAAATCCATACATAATCTTTTCAAATATCAATAAATCGAAAAACAATCAATACACTATGTTAGTTGTTGTTAATAATAATTTTAATTAGGATATAAGAACATCTCAAGCTATCGTTTATGTAAAAAAAATCATGGAACTACTTCCGCTAAGTTTGATTGGATTAATGAAACAAGTAAAATATTTCCCAAATGTTCACATTATTTTACTTTTTAAATTTATTGGAATGAAATACCGTTTCAAAAGAATTAAAATACTGCCACTACAAAAAAAGTGAAAAATTTGCATTCTTAAATAAAAGTGGCAGATTTTCACTTTTTTGAAATAAGATGTCACATTTTTGGAGCGCAGAGATTCACTCCAAAAAAGAAGTGAGATTTCTTTCCTTTGAAATGAATGAATCTCATTCCAAAAAAAAAACTGAAAATCTGTCACTCTTATTTAAGAGTGCAAATTTTTCACTCTTTTTTAATAGTGGCAGTATTTTAACTCTTTTGGAGTGATATTTCACTCCAAGAAATTTAAATAGTACCCATCCCCTATTTAATTTCGTTAATGCATAATTTGCGTTTGCAAGTCACGACGGAAATGTACGTACTTAAAAAAAAAACCAGAAAACAAATGCGGGGTGGACACAAAATGTTTTGAAAACCAAATGCTTGCCTACGCGAGCGTGAGCACAATGCAGTGGATGCATAAGAATGGAGGCTCGGAGTTTTGCTTGAATAACGATAAACATCGCGTCGCAAACAAAAATAGAGTACGGAAAGCGTACCCCGCTTTGTGTATCGTCTATTTTTAGATGACCGCCCCGCACGGAACTACTAAAATAAATAAGCCGTTCCTTCGGAACTTTCCTTTAATATTAGACGAATCTTGTTTTTCCTACACCCGGTATCGATAGTCCGCGATAAAATGTAAAATGCAATGTGTAACGCCGCGCCGCTTATACGTCCGGAATATGTTGAAACGCGTGAGCATCTGTACGCGAGAGAAATACATAAACGCGTAAACGGGATCTCAAAACACGACGAAAGCCGTGTAGTTGTTCGTTCCCTACATTATTTCGGATTTTCAAAACGCAATTTGCTCCACCAGAAGCTTAATTATCTCGTCTATTTTCGATTTAAGCAGCGTAAACGCGGCGATATGATTTCGCAGAGAAATAACGTCGCGTTTTTTATAATTCAAAAAGCGCAACTCGAAGCCGGTTTCGTAATTTCGTAATTAGCAACCATACAGCCGCCGAGAATAATCGGACTATGCTTTGATTAATAAAAAGCTTTTTACGAAAAAAAGACAGAATTAAGGTAGAATTTAATAAACTCGTTGAAATTCGTGTGTGTCATCTTCAAAGGAAATAACTCCCGCGCTAATTAGGGGTACGAAAAAAAGGGAGGGGAGAAAAAGCGAAAATCATTTAAGCAATATGACGAGTCAGAGTTCAAGATAAAAGTGATATCTCACGAGCTATCTGCAGCGGGGTCAAATGTGCCTCCATCAAAGTAATTGAGGGTTAACAGAATTGATTTCGGACGAAATGATACTGGAGGCGGTACGTAAGTATTAATAGAGGCTGCGAATCGAAACGCTCTTCGGAAGTCTTTAATAATCGTTCCCCGTTTATACGATTAAAAGTCGTTTGCAGTTTAATTAATTGTATATTATTTATTATGTGATTGAATGAAATTAATAATAAATGTACACGCATCGTGACGTTGCGTAAAAATATACAAGTTAAAAACATACACGTTATTCCCCGTAAATTGTAATAACTTGAGTCCCCCCCACATTGTAATTATTACGCGTAATTTCTATCATCAGAAACTAAGAGAAAAGTTCATTTTGCCGCCGTGGATTATTCTCTCTCTCTCTCTCTCTCTCTCTCTCTCTCTCTCTCTCTCTCTCTCTCTCTCTTGTTTCTTTTATCTTATATCATAAATAAAAATATGGGAAATGCAAAATGTTTGAAAAGATTATCGAAAAGTGCGATATAATACTTTCGAAAGGCACAAATAAAAAATATAGAATTGTTCAGGAGAGGAAAGGAAAAATTTCGTAATTAATTATTTACAGCATAAGTTAACTAGAGCTAATTACAAGTTGCTTGTTTCAAGTTTTAAAAGGATCCTAAAGTCGTCTATTTTTTACTCATTATTCTTCGAATAAGCGTTTTTCTAATTGCATTTTATATATACAAATTTGAAACTCCTTTTCCACATTTCACACTTATAAACGGGTAATGGAGTTCAAATAGACGACTTTATATAAAAAACGAAAAAGTTGAAAAACAGTTCTGTAATTGACTAGTAACAATATTTGCTTTATATTCAAGTTTACTTTGTCCGTATAAAACAATCTTGATTTTGACTTTGACTAGAGATTATATGAACAAACAATGTTAAGTTCTTAGAGTTAAGCTTAAACAACTAATATGAAAGATTAATTAGTTATAAAATTTGTACTTATGTGTGCGTGCGATATTGATGTAGCAGTGTGTAGAGATGTGTATAATTCTACTAAATCGATAAAACAGACGATTTTAAGATCTCTCAAGTTTAAAAGTAATGTAGTAAATATTAATTTCATTATGATATTATGTTAACTTCTAAAAACTATCCCTGTTCTGAATTTTGATATTCTTCCCGTTTTCAGCTCATTTCTATTTTCTATTTGAATTCAACTTGTATAACTTTTCCTGATTGAAGACAGATGTATTTTTTTAGAACACAATTCGCACGCGTAATACGAAAATAAAAATAATTCGAAAAGTGTCGACTTCCATCACTTTTCAAGCGATATGTTTATTGCAGTCGAGACGTAAATTACTATCCCCCAATCATACTTCCTGCTTAATGCTACACAAATCTTATCTCCCCTATTTTATCTAAAACGCAAATGTTTGACTATACACGCGTATGAGTTAATCTATCATTCTAAATAAATACTCCACAATATCAACGAGAGAGATATCGACGCGTTTTTCTCATTACGTCGATTTCCTCGAATTTTCTAGTACGACTTGACCTGATCTGGTAATAGAGAACGACGGGAATCGTTCCGGACCCATTTTCTCTCGGCGACTTTAATCGTAATACTTGACGCGAAGTGCGTTCTCGTTACGCGCGAACTCGATTTGCGCGGATTCAGTGGAACGCGATCGACGAAACAACGGGAGGGAGGGTGCGTAAATCAATTTATGCGAATAGGATTCGCCGCCACCGCCACCGTCGCGTCGCGGAGAGCGCGACGCTGATCGAATCGCTTAACGTTTTCGGGAGAGCCCGAGCTCGCATTTGTTATATAAACGCGATTGAGGGTGAGAGAAAGAAAGAAGAAGAAGAGAGAAATAGAATCCGTGGGAAAATCGGGGATTCCATTTAAACGGCGGAACGTCGCCGAATCGGCGTGCTATAAGGACACCCTGTATGTGCAATATTATTTACGTACGGTGCGACGCGAAAGGGGGGAGAGGGAAGGGGCACGATGGACCGTAACAACTAAGGCTGCAGTCCATGCTCCAACGCTCTTGGAATCATTTCACTCTTGTTACCCATACACAATGGAGAAGCTTGCAGCTGCAATGTTAGCGCAATACTGCTACAAGGTCTGTTCTTTTTAGCTAAAGTTCTTGCACGGTTTATCTTTCTTCCTTTTCTCTCCACATTGGAGAGAAAAAGAGAAAACTTGAACCGTGCAAGAAGTTCAGCTAAAAAGAACAGGCCTGTTAAAATATTGCTACAATAGTTCCAATGTTACTGCAATATTGCTGGAACATTGAAATGTTGCTGTAACATTTTCAATATTATTGCAATATCACTGGAATGTTAAAATGTAGCAGCAACATTTCCAATGTTACTTCAATATTACCAGAACATTGCAATGTTGCTAAAATATTTCGAATATTACTGCAATACATATTGCTGGAACGTTAAAATGTTACTGTAACATTTTCAATGTTACTTCAATATTATCAGAACGTTGTAACGTTGTCAAATTTTTATAATGTTGCTGCAATACATATTGCTGGAACGTTGGAATGTTGCTGCAACACTTCCAACATTACATCAACATAGTTGGACCGTCAAAATGTTGCTGCGACGCTTCTAATGTTATTTTTAATATTTCTCTAACATTAAAATATTGCTACATTTCTAACGTTACTTCAATAATGCTGGAACGTTGCAATGTTGCAGCAATATTGCTGGAGGGATCTGTGCTGCACGGGTTGTTTATCAAGGACAGACATGCGTTGTGAATCGGAGCCTAAGGGGAACCCAACGGAGGCAAGGGTAGAAAAGGGATACCCATGCCCGAGGGGGAGTTGAAAGAGAAAAGAGAAATCATGGCACGTACCTTGGACTGTAATGCCGAACGCCGCTAGCAGGAGCAACCGATCGATCAATCCGCGGCACATCTTCATTAATATATCCGAGGGCTGCCCCCGTCGCGCGTCGTACCCTTTTTCTTCTCCGTCGTGCTGTCCGAGAGATTGCACGCAATCGCACGTTGAAACGCACACACAACCGAACTGAAGATTGGGAGAGAAGAAGGGGAGGGAAGGTTCAAGTTGAAGGATCAAGGCACCCAGATCAACACTCAGGACGCCGATCAACACTCACGCGTCATCGGGCCCGTCACGGCCGTTACGACGACGATCTCGTTAACGACGGTCGATCTCCTTTTTTTTTTCTTTCTTCGACGCCACGCTGACGGACGAAGGACGGATGGACAGACAGACGTTTACGTTTCTTTTCCTTTCTCTTTTCTTTTATCTCGTCGCACCACACACTCCGCGAATATACTTTGGCGCCGCGTTCACGCGCGGCCGCGCGCGCACACGCACACACGCCGATATATACGTGCCGGCCGTCGGATCACTTCGCTCCGAGAGACACCGCCGCTTACTTCAGCCGGCTCGCCCGTCGCGGCCGGTCCGCGGCCGCGTCTGCCATTGCACGGGGACGAGAGCGGCGGCGAATATCCATACCTCCCCTCCTTCCCTCGATAGTTACGTCGTATATCCGTTATCGATAACGCGACGCGGAAACTGAACGCGGAGATTCGACGACAGCCTGGGGGGTGGGGGTGAGCGGCAATTCTTTCGAGCGAGCTCTCGCTGAACTCGTGTCTCGTCTCCGGTGTCCACGCTTCGGTTACAGGCAGTTACAGCGAGGGTCGTCCTCGCTCCCTCACGGGTTGATCGATGCGCGCACCGCGCCGCTGACAACGCCGTCGTTACGACGGCGAGTGTCCATTCTATGGGAGCGACGAACGCCGAACGCACGCCGAAGGGGGAGAATAATCCGACTATTCCGACTCCGAGTCGCGTCGCGCGGTCGGCGCGGCGTCAACAGACTCAACAGTCGCGCGCGCGCCGCTGCTCCTCCGTTCGATGATCCATCTCGCGCGGGGGAGAGCACGCGGATCTATGATCGAAGTGTGCTGGTGGTGGGGAGCAGAACGACGAGGGAGGGCGAGCGAGCGAACGATGGCCCGATCGATGTTTATCACCGTGAATGTCACTCGAAACGAGCCGGGGGAACGACCGTTACTCTCCTCTCTCTCGCGAACGCCGAACGCGTTGAATCCCGCGGGACATCAACCCGGACGGCCGCGGACGCTCATTGCTCGTCAAGAGTGTCACTCCGTTTTTTTTTTTTTTTTTTTAGATAGAGGTGCACCGCGTCCACTGACGTGTTCCGTCGGCCACACGCCGGACCGGTCGCTCTCGCGAACGAAAACAGAGAGACGTGACGTTCCGCCGACGCGGCGGAGAATACGAACGAACGATACCACCGACGCGAAAGCCGATCCGCGACTGACCGACGGGGTACGCAAGCGCCCGCATATTTAGCGCGCCGTTCAACGCCACTTGCGTGACTGGGGAGAACTAAACCCATGCCACGTACAGGGTGACCCATGTAAAATTTTACGAGCCTCCTTTCCTCTGGGAAAACTCTCAAAAACAGCGGTCGCGATAACGTCGTAGTGACGTTAAAATAAATCATGACTGATCGAAAAGATCGAGTGACTTTTAATATTTAAAGGGTGCGGGCATCTTTTTAAAATTTTATAGCTTTTCCTTGAGTAAGATTTCTTATAATTCATTATTTTTCATTGCACTTCTTGGCTCAAAATGTGACACTGTTTCAACGCCACTATAGTGGCTTTCTTTTCTTATAAAGGTTAATAATAATGATGTCTATTTAGAATAATAATTGATGTCATTTTGATCAGAGCTGGAGGTATGCATTTGAAATACTTTTATTTAAAAAACAGTATTTGCAGGACAATTGTATTTTGTATTTTGTATTTCAGCGGAGCACATGCAAATATTATTTTGTGTTTTGTATTTCATGGGAACGTATAAAAGTATTTTGTATTTTGTATGTCAATATTAATAACGAAAGATTGAAAATATTTTGTATTTCAAATATTAAGATTGACAATCAATTTTAATATTTGAATTACAAAATACAAAAAATTTTCAATTTTTCGATTTTAAATAGAAAATACGCAATATTTTCATGTGCGCCGTTGAAATACAAAATATAAAATACACTTGTATTGCAAAAACTATGTTTTAAATCAGGTCTGTCCAATTTGAGCTCAAAAAATTCAATGTAAGATTTCATGAACTATAAAATGTTAATAAACATCGCTCAGACACTTTGCAGTCTTTGAAATCTTACTCATATTGATTTTTTTACGTCAATGACTTTGCGTTTTGGCTCCAAAGCTCAAATTGGGCAGGTCTGTTTTAAATAAAAGTATTTAAAATATACATGCCGCCAGCACTCATTTTAACGTCATTCAGATGATGTCAGACTTTTTGTTTTACTTGGGCTATTACAGATAGTGATAGAATTCTTTTTTAGCTATGTAATCCTTTAAGGTTTGACTTTTTTTAAGAAATGGGACATACAATATCTAGTTATTTTTGAAGATTTGGAGAATCGCTAAATATTGATAATAAAAAAATGAGATCATAATAATTGGTGGCTCAAAATAGCATATCTAATATGACGGATCTAAGAAATAAAATATTTTCAAAAAATTGTGATGAAATTATGTAGTTTTGAAAAAAAAAACTATTTAAAAACAAGTACAATTAGATGTGAAATGCTATGTAAAAATAAAAAATTGTAACAATTTTACAGTACATTATCTACTAAATAATATTATAATTAATATTTTATCAATGAAATTGGATAGTTATTAGCAACATATACCTACTTATAAAAACTATTAAAAAAAAATTCAAATGTTTCCCTCGCATTATAAATATCATTCAATACATTTCTTTATTAAATAATTACATATTTTTTTTATTCACCTTTTCATTGAAAGATTTGAAAATTACTCTCAACAGTAATAAATAGTTTTCTTTAAAACAAGTTCTAGTTGAATCGAATTGTTTAATATTTACTAAAAATATAATTTTTTTATAAAAAGTACACACACATACATATATAAATATATATTATATAGTATATACATATATATATGCACCACTAGACTTTAAAGAGTAAGATTCGTCGACTATCTCGGAATGAATGGATCTCTGCCGTTGAACTCTAGAAAATAAAAAGCAAACTCCCGTATTCTTTTAAGTTGAAAGTATCTTTTTCGGAGGTAAATCGAGTTTTCTCAGTTTGCATGTAAATTATTAGGCGAAGATAGTCGGAAAGAAGATATTTTACAAGATTTTTATATTTTATTTCAACACTTTCTAACAAAGAAATATAAAATGTCTCGTAAAAAATATTTTCTCTGATTCTTCAGTACTTATTTAAACATAGACTGACGAAACAAATTGGTTTCTGTCGTTTCTAGCACATTTCGAAAATAGCTCTGGCAATTAAATAAGAATCCGCGATAAACAGGATGTCAGACTTCATGTTTTCGATGTATGGAGAAGAAATAGCACTAATTTATTCAGTCTCGATTTGAATCATAATACTTCTTCGACAATACTCTTAGACGCTATCCAGATTCCCAAGAAAACATCCAATTTAACGTTATTGCCTAATCTATTATTAAAAAGATAAAGCTCTACATGAAATTTTATCGACATTTCGCTCTCTCCCTTCATTTGATGAAAATTTCAATGATAGCGTTAAGAAGTAAGCGCAGAGGATAAACGCGTTCCACGAATTGAGATTAGAAGGGAAGAGGAATGTTAGCTTCGAGCTCGTAAATAAATCACTGTTTGATAGTCGATAATCGTCAGACTTATTATCGAGACGATAAGTTGAATGACGGATTTACCTCACACCGACAATCACTGACGATACACATTCGTGCGCATTCCGTGGTGTGCATCCGATAATACCATCTACGAGATCAGGAAGCATAGTTCGAGAATTCGATTCTGCTGCTGTCTTCTCCACTCGGGACACCCTGGACCCGTCGCGAACAAATTTCCCCGTGAGCGCCACGCGGCTCTTCGGCCGCGCTCGGCCATCTTCGGCTTCGCTCCCCTGAGATCGCGGTGACTCCTCGAGAACGGGACTCAGGATCGTACTTAGGCACGCGCGAATCCCTACCGAACGGATATGATCCACACAGACTTAAAGGGATCCTAAACCGATTACCGAACTTAATCGAGGTCGATAGTGCAGACTTTTTTAATTCCAAATTTGATAATAGTGACATCTTTTATTCATTCCTTACATTATATTATATATCATTCCGTCTCACTCAAACGCATATATCTTTCCTTATCTAATATATGCCAGCACCATCTATTGCAAGACCGCGTAACTACTACTATATGGAATTTCGACTCTTTTGACATTCCTAGTCTTCACAAAGCACCGAATGGAAAATACGTATACACAAAATACTTTTCTTCTAGACTTTCAATCTTAGTTCTACAAACTCGGTATCGTTCGTTCCAGTAATGTGATCTCAGCTGCACGTTTATTTTCAAGATATAAACTCTTGTATCAAGCAAATATATAGGAGAGAGTGGTTTAAATCGGACCTATTTGCAGTTTTTGCTCTCTATAAGATGTAAATAAAGTCCGATCGTAAAATCGAAGGTGCCATTGGAAAGATCATTTAATTCCCTTCATTTTTTGCTTCAGACATTTTGACGTATCTCTCACCTGTCTTAAACTATAATGGAAAATGTAAAAACGCTTTTTTCGGTTCGATTTGGAACCATCCGTTCTAAATCGGACTGTCCTATGGTTCAAATCGAAAACTCCTATTTTTATGAATTTTTAGATAGAATTTTAAAATATTAATGTATTTTTCTTAGTATAGAAACGAGCAATTTGACAGTAAAAATTTTTTCGGAAAAAGAAATTACTGACTGTTTATATTATTAGAATTGAAATCAATAAAACTCAACTAATCTGAGTCTGATGACTCATGATATTTTACTAATTTATATTTCGCTAGACCAGATCTGGTCAGCCGATCACCAGTACTACAACCAGGCCTATAAATTATTTATTGTACTGTCCGATTTGGACACGAGTCCATTCGAACTTTGAAACAAATTTTACAATAAACCGCAAAAGTGATCATAAAATGCTTGATATTTTTGAATTCTACACTCTTTAATTACTTTAAATCAATTACTTTTAAAATTTTTAACACCTTTTAAATAATGATTTACAAGGATTTTTTTTTTTTTTTAAATTTTCGCACGATCGCTGAAAATACATATTTGAGTCTATTTTATGAATGTCATGACAGAGAACTATCAAACTGCTATCACATGTTCGGTGTCTTATAAGGACTTTACATTATAAATAGTACGCAAACCTGCTTAATCGTATTCATTTAAATTAAAAAGATTACCTATTTGGAACACGGTCCGATTTAGACCACTCTCCCCTACCTGAAGTGACAGCTGTACGAGCCAAAAGTAAGTGAACTTTTTGACTTTTTTCCGATTTTCTCATGAAATCCAGTGCTGCTAACATCCTGTTTGTGCGTACTTTAATTCTGTATTTCTGTAATAATAATTTTGCAATCCGTAAATCCAATTCGAAGATTTTTCACCGGATGGAAATGATGGAAAGTAGGACGACTTTAGCATCCCCTTAAGCCCGTGTCACACTACAAACTGGAAATTGAGGATTGTAAATTGAGGATTAAAATTCGGCCAATCAGAATGAAACGTGGATTAAAATTAAAATTATCTGAATGATTGAATTCTAATCTTTAATTCGCAATCCTCAATATATATATATATATATATATATATCTCTAATATTTATATTTAATATATATTTCATTTGTATAATTAATTTTAAATTTTCCCCTTTTTGATGTAAATAGCGCACTCCAGATACGAGAAAACAAAAGAATTATGTCATACCAATATATCGAAATAAAATTATCACAAGAAAACAGTGTCTT